AAAGGAGGGACTTGAAAAGTGGGAGCCCTCTGCCCTGCTCCTGCCGGCTGCTCCTGGCAAGATCTTGGGTGGGGAGAGGTCTGGGAGAGGTAGAATCACTACTAAGGCTAGTCTTTTTCCAATTTTTGGTGCAGACTGACTCCCGAGGAAGTAATGGGGCCTGTGACCGGACTGGGCGCCTCTACCTGTATCACTACAACGAGGATCAGCCTTACATCCCGCTGACCGAAATCCAGAGGATTGACACTGCCGCCATCCTGGACATCAAATGGTAATGCTGGCCCCTCAAGGCTTGGAGCTCACAGCAGTGTGGTCTGCTCTTCTGTGGTCCTGCTTTGGCTGTTGGTATGGCAGGAACAAAAACTGTTCCTGACTTCTTGGAGGGAAGTATTCTCCAGTTTGCTCCAGTGAGCAAAGGCTGCGCTCATTTCTGTTACGCTCTTCTGCTTATTTATGAACAGCTGGTCAGTGATTGTGGACCTCTTTTGTTTATATAGAGGGGAAACCTACTATATATTACTATATAATCTCCTCCATGCAGGTTTATGGGAACTTGAGGAGCCTTAGATTTTCTTTATGAAGTTTTTTTGGTCAAGTACCTTCTCCTTGTGCATCTTGGAATAAAAGTTATGACTTTGCTTTCCTGCTTGCATACAAGAAAGATGGACATTCAAGACTTGTTTAACTTGGATCTTTTAGGTGCCATGTTCCCGTTGCAGAACATCCCATGGTTGGTATTGCAAACTCGACTGGCGCCGTGGAGTTTTGCCACCTGACTGGAAGTGAGGTAGGTGGTTGTAACACCTGCTGCTGTTGAAGCTGTGTTTAACCCAGATTTAATACATCTCTGGATTTATTAGCAGTGTTCAGAGACATGTAGGAAAGCTTTATGGTTTCCATGACTTCCTCAGTATGCTTAGCTTTTTAAACACTTCTTTTGTCTTCTGATAATGTTTCTCATAAATCCCACAAATTTGTTCATGGCACCAGAGAGACTGGCTGGGCTCTACCCACCTGCAGAGTGTGGGAGATGAGAGGCATGAGGGGAGCAGAAGCAAACCTTGGAAATTGTCACCTGAGTATAAGTATGGACTAACTGGTAGACACAGCAGAAGATACAAAGTTGTTAAAAACAGGGAAGAATTTCAGAGAGGGGTTTCTTTCAGTTGGTGAGAGAAAGGAGTAATCAAGAGAGACATTCCCACAGAGCAAAGAAAGCGGAAGCCAGTCTATAAGGGAATTCAACAGTCAGGTCATCACTTCTGCACTTCATCACTCACTGAGAGGAAGCAAAGTTGAAGGGTGGTTTGGTGGGAGATAGGTAGCAGAAGGGTGGGGATCCTGCGTATGCATGTTTGCCCTTCAGCTAGTACTAAGCAATTGTACGTTGCTATGGGACATTTCATCTCTTCTTTAGTGTGGGACCCTAATATGCTCGTCAGTCTCTGGAAGACACCTGCTGTAGGAGTAAGCAGTACAAGTGTTGTTACATACCTGCTGTCTTCCCACTCTTAACTCATTCCTTTTCTTTCCAGTAGAAGAAGAGCTGCATGTTGGAGCCACGCTTCAGGGTCGATCTCGGTGCACAGTGTCTGGCCTTGTCTTTAGACTGGTCCACAGGACGAGAGCAATGGTGAGGATGGGAGACAAAGGCTGGTATTGGAGGTCATTGTGTGTGTGACAGTCTTCAGGCATAAGTTGAGGACTTTGATGAATGAATTTTTGGTGGCTTTTTGTGAAGTGGCTTAAGACTTTCTTGGTCCCAGCTGTCTCCCTGCACCTTCTCTAGAAGTTACTATTTCCAGATCAAGGGTAACAAAGGAACAAGAACACATAACGTGGCCACTGTAACAGGGACTAAACCACCAACAGATGTGAGGTTGTGCTATGGTGAATGGTGGCAGGTGAGCCAGGGACAAGTTGTCTGTTGCCTTTGCTAAAAGGAAAGACCAGAATGGGATGCAGATGGATCCACTGATTCAAACTCTGCTCTTAGAATGGCTGAAATTTTAGTGTGAAGTTCTGCTTAATAACTGCTAATAATAGCATATGTAGGAAGTTTAAACATGGGTTAGTGAGGAATGGGAGAGAATTGGTTTGGAGGCTCCTTCCTCTCTCAAATGCTCATACATTTGATTTCAGAAATGGCATCACTGCATGAAATAACATGAATTATCTGTACCTTGAAAGAGGTAGGGTAAGTTAAGTGCAAAACAGAGAGTGGTGCCTCTGGTGTGAGGCTGGAAACTGAGGGGATCAGGCAGTCGTGTGCTTAATGCTGTAGGGCAAATATTTAGTAGCTTTTGCTAATTAAAGCTGTTTCTGTGCATGCTGTTTAAGGAATAAGTAGAATTTCCAGTTCTTCTTTCTTCTTCCTTACATTCCTTCTTCCCCTTGTCTCTGCCCTTCAGGAGAAATGATTGTTGCCATGATGAAAAGTCCCTTTAAAACCTGTCACTGTTGTCACTTGAGAGACAAATAACCCCTTCTAGAAGCCAAATGTGCAGCCTTCCCGTCTCTGTAGGAAGGGGGTGACCCTATTTTTCTTGTGTGGAAATTTGGGAGATACAGTACAGTTTAGTAACTAACATATGGTGTAGAACTGGAAAGAAGTCCTGAGTCACGAAATCAGTACCTACAGCTGCAGGTAGCCACACTCATGTCAGGGAATGTCAGAAAATCTGTGCACTGTGAGCTGCAAAACTTTTGCCAGTGCCCCAAGTACATTGTGTCCAGAAACTACCACTGTGCTGTGCCACAGGAAGAGAGCAGGAAAGGTCAGAATCAGCCAGTGCCTCAGATGCCTGTGACAGCAGGGAAATAAAACATTTCTTCATACTCCAGAAGACAGAAGAGACTCTGACAGGTCCTTGTCAGTCTGACTTGAAGGAAAAAAAAAAATCCCTCTTCACATGGAATTTTTTAATTGATGTAATATCAAGCATTTGCGAAGTCAAGTTATGCATCTAGGAGAAAGAAAGACCCAAGGCTGGTTTTCTTTCCCTCACATCAGGGAATGGGGATCATTGATGTAGATGATTTTACAATGGGATGGGCTGAAGCTAAGAAGAACTGTATAAATGCGTGCATTCCTTCCACTGTACTACCAATTTCTATCAATGTTTAGTTGAATCAAATATATATAGCATTATGTTATCTGTCTATACTTTGGCTGCTATTTTTTACTCTAACACCTTCTTAGGACACGAGTTTCAGTAATTTCTAATGTTTTCTCTGTATTCCACTGTAGTGGATGTCCTTTGAGAGTGATCAGCAGTGATTCAGAAGGGAAGCTGAATCTTTTCTCCATAGATGAATCTGCTCCTTCTGTACATGTCCTGAACCAGTGGGAAGCTCACAAATTTGAGGCCTGGATTGCTGCTTTTAATTACTGGGACACTGATATTGTCTATTCAGGTCTGTAAGGGCTGGGAATCTCATTTGGGGGTGTTGGGGAGGTGGCACCTTGTTTAGGGATGTGTATTCCTTGGGATTTTACTTTCCAGGGTTGGGTATGCTGCTTGCATCACACCACTTGTAAGAGTTAAAGAGTTGGGGCCTCTGCTAGGGGTGAAAGGCTTCTTGATTGTGGGAAGTGGTTGGAGTTAATTAGCAGAAGCTGTGCTTTTTAAACTGTACTTTGGCTGGCTATTGGCAAAAAAGATGTTAGTCTCCTGTGGTGTGCAAAAGAGAGCAGAGAGCTTCTGGAGTCCAGTCTTTTTTTCTTCTAAATTTTTTTGCTTAGCAAAGTGAGGGTATTGTTAATGCATGCCTCTTCTGTGCTGATGAGTACTGTGAGCCTCAAATGATGTCTGGTACGTCCATTAAATGCTATGAGATCCTAGGGCTGAAAAGCATCAGCTCGGTGTTAACTGCATTGCCTCGGCGCCCTGCACTGGTCATTTGGATGGTGTTCAGGGTGACAATTTTTTCTCTTTGTGCAGGAGGAGATGACAGCCTGCTAAAGGGCTGGGACACCAGGTGCAGTTCAGAGACTCCTGTCTTCACCAGCAGGAGGTAAGCAAGCCGTGTCTGCAGCTGGACCCTAAAGCTATCGTGTATGAACATACGGTGCTACCGTGTCCCTTCCCAAGCAATTTGGAGACGTGCAGTGACAGTGGAGTCCTGTTTCTGCCTCCCTTGGGAAATGGAGACATCTATTAGATTTTTTTTTTTTCATCAGGACAATTTCAGGTTGAAACTTTCTTCTCTGTGTCCTTCAATATAATAAACAAACAGCTCAATTCCACGTGAAGATGGTGGTTGCTTCTTTCTAAAACAAGGATCCTGGTTTACACTTTTATTTTGGGAATTTCTCTGTGTGTTAAATTTGGTTATCACGGAACGTTTTTTAGAAAAACATTTTATTCTCCACTGTTCACTTATTTGAAGTAATCTCCTTTTTCTGGTGGCATAACATATCTTTTAGAATACGATTAAAACAATATACACAACTCTCCAGTGAATTTTGTATGTAACGTTAAAATACACTGGGGATTATTGCTATGGAAATATTAATGTTGGGAGTAAAGTCTCGTGGGATTGGAGTTGTGCTGAAATTCTTACGGGCTCTGAACAGCAGTTTATGGTACAATTATTACTAGAAAAGATTTGTGCTGAGAGACTATGTGAGTAGAATTTTTGCCCTGGAAAGGCTGTTGGACTGACTCTGTAGATGGAACTCTGCCTGTATATTTCACTGGGCTGAAATTTGAGTTCATCTTGCTCTCCTTTGATGTAGTTAGGTGGACCCAAAATCCTTGAAATTCAAGGAAGAATCCCTTCTCAAATCGTACATTGCTGTCTCTTCCTTCTGCTGTATGTTGCTCTTTTGCAGACACTCCATGGGTGTGTGCAGCATTCAGTGCAGTCCCCACCGGGAGAATCTTCTGGCTACTGGCAGGTAAATCCCTTCTAGCTGCTCTTCACTAGTGTGACCAGCCCCCTCTGCTATTTTGAACGTGCTACTGCTGCTCAAGGTGTGGTCTCTTCAGACATTTGGTGTGGTGAGGAGCACGCAATCTTTCCTAATTTTCTTCTGTACTTGTGGCACTGAATCAGCTGTGCTGCTTGTCTGCATATTTATTTGCGATATGTCTCCAGCTATGATGAGCATGTGCTGTTGTGGGACACCAGGAACATGAAGCAGCCACTGGCAGACACCCATGTTGAAGGTGGAGTTTGGAGGTTGAAGTGGCACCCAACCTGTGATTTTGTGCTGTTAGCAGCCTGCATGCAGAGTGGATTCAAAATCCTTGACTGCCGTGGAAGCATGGGTGAGTGTTCAGTGGAACAGATATGCGTGCTGCTCTCCTTTCCTGCCTCCAGGTTAATGGGGGAGCTCCAGCTCTGAGGTTGCTGGAAAGATCTGTATGTTGTTAATAGCCATAGACTTTTATTCCAACTTGAGGTAACTTCCAGCTTTCTCAGACCTATCCTCACTGTTGGCCTGATTGGTTGTGCAAAGGCACTGTCATTATTCATGTGTAAATCTCTCATAACTTCCTTTTGTGGGAAGAAAGCCTGTTTGTCCCGGTGTAAAGGCATTACCTGTTGACATGACCATTCTGGTTTGTATTCATCTTGATGGTTCAAAGAGGTTCTTCTGAATGTCAGGTGAGGCTTTACTGTCAGCAGAAGCTACTGGCCTGCTGGTGAATTGGTTATTGTCTCAGAAAGGAAGTGCTGTGCAGTCTAGTTAATCTAGAATAACATGAATAAGCTCTCCATGTGAATCAGAAGGCATTTACACGACTAAAAGCTTTGCATTTACATTACAAATACAATCTTGGGTAAAATGGTTGCCTTCCTAGGTTTCTCCAGGCCTTGGGCAGATCCACAGCTTGTGACATGAGGATAACATTTCTGCTGTATAGAGTAGGAAGGAACTTGATGTCCATTTAGTATCAGAGTCAAATGCTGAAAGCTCATGGGAAGAACACATCTGCAATTTATTAATAACCAGAACCTGGTCTGGAAATCTTACCAGTTGTATTTATGGCTCAGTGGGGATCACTGTGTGACCTGTCTTGTCTGTCTTGAGCCTTTTTAGGTATTTTGAATAATGATGCATGTTAATGCATGTTAAATCTTCTCCTGTCTGCTTACTGAACCAGGGAAAATGAAGGCTAATGAGAGGCAGCTGAAAAATTGTCAGGAGAGCCAGAACCTCATTTCTCCTAGAATGCTTAATTCCGTTGTGAATAAGACAATAACCAGAGAGCTCTTCCTCTAGGACATGGCCAATGCTAGAATGACTTATGAGTAGTCTGCAACAAACCACTTCAGAAGGTGATTTCTGCTCATTTCATATTTTTGGGTTTTTTTTTAAGCGGAAAACACAGAGGAATGTATCATCCTGTCATCCTATGTCTTGCACAATTCCTTGGCCTATGGGGCTGACTGGTCAAGGCTCTGTCCGAGGGATTCCTTGACTGCAACACAGGACACTGCTGCTGCGTACCACTCTTCAGAGGAGCTTGTGGGAAGATCACAGGAAGGAGATGAGAGACTGAATTTGCAAGTCCAAAACCTGAAGATAATTTATGAGTCTCCTACAGCTACTTTTGATGTAATATTGGATGAGGAGAGTGAAGGCCTTGCCTTGCCGCTCAAAGCAGAAGGGGGTCCTAAGCTGTCTGGGGATCCTGGCCTGGTTAGGGGCTCTGATTTAAAGGGGAGTTTAGATTTGGCTGAGGGTCCTGAGCGAGGAGGGGATCCCGAGTCAGCCAGCAGTTCTGACTCGGGAGCTAAGAGACCCAATGGTCTGGACAGAAGCGGTGATTCAACCAGGTCTCTAGACAGTCCAAAAGAAATGAGCATTATAGCAACTTGTTCTTTCTATGACAGTATCCTCCATGTCTGGAAGTGGGAGATGAGCCTGGTGACCCCTTCGGAGACGCCAAGTACTAGATCTCCGTCTGAAAGAACAGTTGAAAGTTTGCATTGACCAATCCCAAGGGAGAGGGGTAGGAAAACTCCCTACCGAGAGCAACATCTGAGCTTATGCTAATTTCTGTTGGGCTTTTCCAGTTTTATTGTTGAGCTTGTGAGTCTTTAAGGCCGATACCGATGGAATTACTGGCGTTTTATTTTCAGCACTGAGGAAAGCCTTTGCTTTGAGGGGTGTGGCCAAGCACAGACACGTTTATTTAGTTTTCCCTTAATGTACCAGTTCAAAGTAAGATAGCCTTCCTCCCAAAGGCTGCTTGTATGTACCTTGTATTTGAATCCCTTCAAGGCTGGTTTGCATTTGTACGATTGATCTGTTAAGCCCGTTCTCCTCCTTCCATCACAAACCAAACTTGTCTGTGCTGCTATGTGTAGATAAGCACATGGTATGTGGTCAGAGTCTCCCTGAATGTCTCAGAAAAGCCCATGAGTAGAGGCTTAGCTCTGTGTGTAGCTTGCTGTGTGATCTGTAAACTAGTATGTACCTTGAGAAGACACTAAAAGACAGTCCAGATACTGACAGTGCAATATGCTCATAGTGATCTTTAGTAGAGAGAAATTCTTTTTTAGAAGACTGACCAGTATGACAGACAGCAGTTCAGCGACAGGAAGCTTTGTTCTGAGCAGGGCCTTTCTTGGGAAGGATTCTGGTGTATCTGCACAGCCTAATTTTACATGAGACTCATCACCTGGTTGCAATCTCACTTTATCACTCTCCAAGCTAAGCACAGCCTGGTTTAGCATAAATTGTGTAGCGAGCCCTGCTATGTTTCAGTGCCACTCTTACCAAGAGGCTATGGGGGGGTGGTTATCAAACTCATGTTTTCTGCTCTCTGCAGTGAGACATACATTTAGGTCCAAAGTCAAGATCTTTCAGTTTTGCAAAGGTGAACAGCTTTAAGATCAAAACCTCCAAAAAGTACAAGCAGTGTTTCCTGACATCTTTTTAAGTTCAAAGTAAGTAAGTACAGAAACCAAAATCTTAACAACATTGCCCTAACTACCTCCAGGAATGGCTGCAGAATTTCTCACGGTTGCTCCATTAGCTTTCTTTTTTCACTGTGAAATATCAGCAAGATGCTGTTTCTGGAACACTTCTCTCTTATCTTCCTAGAAACAAAAAACCAGCTTAAACTAGGTAATTAACTTCTAGCTTGCATAGTTTCTCTTTGAGGGTCCTAAAGAATTAGTTGCCTGGAGGGAAAGAAACACCAGCAACAGGTATCTGTCTGTAACAGTGCTGCATCTAAAACGAGGTACAGCAGATCAGAATTCTACTGCTTTGAAACTCCTTTTTCAAGGGTGAATGTGTATTTTAGAAAACATTCTTGAGCACTGTTACATGAAGATTCATATTAGTATTATGAACAAGAGCTTTTGTTAAAAAAAAAAAAACACACCCTATTTTTGGAGGTTTCTAAAATAAAATCAATATAAGTGATTTATCTTCCTTGGTCGTTTTGATTTTGTGAAGTCCATCACAGTCTTCTGCCTTGTCCTGTGATGGCTCAGGTCCTTTGAAGGTGTTTGGATTTGGATGCTCTTTGGGAGCCAGAGTAGACAATCCAGTTTCCTCACACCTCAGTGAGAACACTGAGGGTGTATCCCTGTAGCGACATGGCTTTTGAGTATGACTCTGTCTTAAAAGGTTGTAATGCTTTTTTTTATTGCCATGTGAGATTAAGAGGAAACAGTCTGAGGTTAGTGAAGCTGGGGTGGTGTCACAGAATGCGACCAGATTGTGGCATTTGATTTATGCATTATGTTACTCCTTGCTTTGCCCTGAGAAATGAGGAGTCTCCTATTATAATCTGCCTTCACATACAGAAGATAAGGCAAGTGACTTGTTCAAGACCGAGCTGGTATTAGCACCAAAGGCTACAGGATCTCCTGCTTGCCAGCCTTGCATTCACCTCTCCTCCACCCCCCTCCAACCAGCTGCCAACAGTTGTCCTTTCTGGAAAGTGTGAGGTGGAGCCTGAGAAAGTGACATCTCTGGAAGGAAGGGGCCAAGCACTGCAGGAACAGCACCCAGAGCACCACCACTTTTGTATAACCATTCTGATGAGCTGAAAAATAAGTGAAAAATGCAGGTTGGGCTTAATTAATTAGAAAAACTGCACCTTCCCTCACCCCAACTATGGATGTGATTCTTGAACTGTCTGTGCCAAAGTGTGCTAACTACTTCATTTGCGGTTATTTGGGGCTGCAGCACTAAGAAGTGGAAGCCAGTGCAGCATCCCCTCCCCACCTATCCAGCCCTGAAAATAGGTGTTTTTTTAACAAGTTTAAGGACTCATCTGTCAGTCTTCATTATGGGCTGAAATGCTCACTCACCAAGAACACAGTGAACATACTTCCTTTCTCCAAAAGCGAACATTTTAACTGCAATTTAATTCTTTAATGCTGAATTTGCAGTACTTTGTATTTGGAAAAACCTTGTGGAAAAAAAAAACAAACCCAGTACCTCTTGGGAGGGCTACAGTCCCCAGACACAGAACTGTCACACAGAAGAATAATTTTCTCAAAGACTCCAGCACTAGGGTGTCAGAGAAAACATGTTATTTCCAAAGACATGTAGAATTTAGCAGTTTCTACTTTAAACAGTTACACACAACTGTCTATGTAAATGTCACTTGTATCCATTCAATTTGATGAACAGCAAGACGCTGCTCTTTTAGGATTGTATGTCCAAAAATGACAATTCTTCAAGATTAAACAGTTACCTTGCTGCTTCAAGCAGCTGCGCTGCTAAGGAACAGATATTAAATGGACCTATTAACTGTATCTTGATTTACTCTAAAAGAAAGAGTAGTTTTAAGGCTTGGGAAAGTCTGGAATAATTGTGGCATTCAGTATAAGCTACAGTTCTCTCCTCAGAGAGAAAGTTTAGGGTATGGACTTGGTTTTGCCTGTTGGAGGCCTCACTCCTGGTTTAGTGGAACACTTCATTGGGGCTGAGGCTAGATCCATCACAGCGTTCCCTCTTTGGCTGCAACTGCCCCATAGTGCATGTAACAGCAGCATGCTCTGACTGCGGTACACCATTCGGCTTGCAGTGGCCTGCTTTCCACAGCTGGGGAACTCCAGACTCCCAAGAAGATAAGACCTGTCCTCCTTCCTTCCCAGAAGGAAGGGATGATGTTTCAGCAGCCCAGAGAGAAACTGCCTCCTGCTAATTATCAGCGCCTGGTCAATCAGCTCTTGTCTGACAGCTGGACACCTGCACACTTACACAATACAGGTATACACAGGGTGCAAGACACAAGGAAAGCTTTCCTTAGGATGGGAAATTAACCGCCAGCGTCCCCACAGCAATTTAAATGAGACATGGCAGAAAAGCAAAGTGGAAGGATTTGCTTTTAATAGCCAGTGACAGAAACTGTCCCATATTTGCTGGTGCAGGTCGTGTCTCACGCAACGGCGATGCTCTTCCCAGCACACTGAAGGGGCCGCAGCAGCTCCGCAACCTCGCTGCTTGCTCCCTACCGCACATAGTTCTTAGGGAAGAGCTGGAAGAGCTTGCCCTCCTGCGTCGGCTCGAAGCCATACTTCTCCAGGTTGTTGGGGTCAAAAGTGCCTTCCTTCACGTCCTTCTCGATGTGGGGAGCCACCACCTCGGTGAAGAGCTGCTTGGCTGTCATGGGCGGCTCGGAGCCCTCGGGGGCGCGGTACGAGACGTAGGGCTTGAGCTTGAAGCCCTCCAGGTCGGGGACGACGAACTGGGGCACCATCTGCTTGATGAGCATGAACTTCCTGTTAGAGGTGAGCACGCCCAGCTTCTTGGCCCCTCGGCCCTTGTTGTAGGTTCTGGGGCCTCGCTTGCTGGTGAACGGGGACATGCGGTCGGCGCCCCGCAC